ATGAGGTTCTTATTCTCAACTGAGACAGGAACTAAATACTTAATAGACTTTCTATCAGAAACTAGAGCAGCTACAAGAAAATGGCTGAATTCAGAAGTATCTGAATATGAAGAGGTGGAAATTGACTAGATATAGTCTGTTAAAACAGCTATACATCATCTTTTAATAATTTTGTTTTGTTATAGTCTCTCTTTACTGTACTTGTTTCCTTCTGTTCTTTTCTCTATCTATTTAATGTGTCTATCTTTAAGACTATGTTCTCTTTTCTTTTATCATAATATTTTCAAATGGTTTCAAACTATCAGAAGGTGTTGAAATACTGCAATTTGTAAACAGTTTTTGTATTCTGGGCTGGAATTTTCTGATTTTGCATATTTGAAATTGATAAATGTATAATAGTTGACTCTATAGATATAGGAAAAACCCTGAGAACTAAAGATTCTCAGGTAGATGTCATAGTCTCTGACTGCATACATCTATAATTGAAGAATAATAATAATAATAATAACAGCTGAAACTAGGACATGGCTATTTCAAATCTTATATACAAAGATTTGATGATAGATTTGACTCAATAGAATGCTTATTCTGTAATACAAATGAGAATCCTGAGTATATTGTAATGCATTGTACATTATACAATAGTCTCAGAGCCAGATTGAAAGAGAAGTATGATCTAAATCAATTAAATATGAGATTCTTATTCTTAACTGAGACAGGAATTCAATACTTAATAGACTTTCTATCAGAAACTCAAGCAGCTACAAGAAAATGACTAAATTCAGAATTATCTGAATATGAAGAGGAGGAAATCAATCAGATATAGTCTGTTGAAACAGCTATACACTCTCTTTTAATAATTTGTTTTGTTATAGTCTCTCTTTACTTTATCTTTTTCTTTATCTTTTCCTTTCAATTTCTTTCTATCTATCTATTTAATGTGTCTATCTTTGAGACTGTGTTCTTTTTCCTTTTTCTCTTTTCCTTTGTCATGATATTGTCAAATGGTTTCAAAGTATCAAAAGATGTTAAAACACTGCAATTTGTAAACAGTTTTTGTATTCTGAGCTGAAATTTTCTGATTTTACATATCTGAAATTGATGAATGTATAACAGTTAACCTTACAGACATAGGAAAAACCCTGAGAACTAAAAGTTCTCAGGTAGATATCATAGTCTCTGACTGCATACATCTATAATTGAAGAATAATAATAATAATAATAATAATATAATCTGTGAAGATCAACTATAGCATTCATAATCAGAAGCTTCTTATAATAGTGTAAGAAATCCCGCTTCTCGCGGATTCTTTACCCCTATCTCTATCTCTTGCATAATCAATAGGGCTAGCGGCCCTTGACTACACACAACTATATAGACTGGAGTTCGCGAATACTATTCACAACTCAGCTTGAATACTATTATACATTTGATCTCTATATTTTATCTTTCTACTGTAAATACTTCTAGTAGTTAACAGTACATATCATGTCAAGCTGTAAACACCTGAATAATTATCTGTGAGCACTTATTCTTACATTTCAAGCTCAGTCAGTCAGTAACTATCTGTTATAACTGAAAGAACTAGAAACTTATATACTTCAATCTCTGTGAACTCTACTGCAGACACTCAGAAGCAGTTATCTGAATCATAAATAATCTCTATGAAAGAAGTCTCAGAGAACTTATCAATTACTTACAGAACATCATTCTCTACATCTGTGACAGAGAAACTCTCTGAACTCATGAATAAATCAATCTTAGTGAAGAACATTCTTGAGTATCTCTTATAAGACTAGACTGGCCGCCGGGACCATGAATTTCACATTTGGTCCCATTTGGTCTGGTCCCATACATTTCTTGGCGTGAGTCCCACCAGGACCAAGCCTCAAAAAAATCTGAAAATGGACCATTTCTGAGAGAAATGGTGTGAAAAATGACCAGATTTAATTCAAGAACAGTGAAATGAGAGTAATTTTCCAGGATAAACTGTGAAAGATGATCATTCTTTCAAAATCAGAATGAGACTGGGACTGAAGGTCAAAATCAGTCTCATTCAGTTCATTCAGTGATTGCTTATATAATCAGAATTTGGTAACAATTATTGGTAACACTCATGAAACAACTAAATACATTCTTGTGCAAGTTTATTCTTCACTTTCTCATGAAAACTACACTTCTCTGATATACTGTGATCAGAGGTATTAAACTGTCTGATAATTCCATGTTTTACAATCATGAGTTTCTTGATTGTTTCTCCTTGTAATTGTCCCCAGTGATAGTGACAAATATCTTGACTTGAGTTGAACTTTTGCTCCATTCCCACCCCTGCCAATGAAATTACCAGAATATCACGCGCCATCAGTGCAACAGTTGAATATGTACTCTCAACAATTTTTCATAACTCTAGAATTGATTTGGCGCGTAAATTCATCAGATCATCTTGAAGATAGTGATCAAATTCAGTTTTACAAGCATGTAGTTTTGCCTGATTTTCAGTTGCAATCAATGTATGCAAGTTCTGTTTCAAAGTTAGTATTATAGTTCTATGTGATATGAAGTGTTATCAAAGATTGTTACTTACTAGGGAATTGTATTTCACTGTCTTCACATCTTGAACATCTACTCATTCAAATCTCTGATAGTTGGCATTGTAGTAGTCTCAGGCTAATTTGACATATGAGTCTCATTTCTTCTCTGTCCAATCTTGAGAAGTGTAGGTATTAACTCAATGAGAGGGATCTAGTAGAGCTGCTACAGCATAGTACTCTGCAAAAGATTGTTCCATTTTGCTGTAGTAATATGCCAGTTTATCCCTTGCAGCAACAATAGCCTGCACTATAGCATCATCCCAGACTGAATTTCTTTTTGAGTGATTCAACTGCTTCTTAAGATGAGTAAATAAACTGTTATACACCCACCAGGCTGACTGCAGCATTGGTGTACAAGTGATTGAGACTGTCTTTGTTGTCTTATAAAACTGAAACAGTAAACCAATCACATATTTCAACTGAGTTCACTTCATATCAGAAAGTTTCAATATCTGAATCTTTTCCTGATCAGAGTGTTGCACTCAATGATCAATTGTCTGACACAATCAAAGAGCCTGAACAGTCATCTCATATGTTGAACTTCACTGTGTTCTAACATCCTGTATCATATTCAGTGGTGTGACTGATTTGTTTGTTTGTTGAATATCATGGAATTATTGTTATTGTTTAGAAGAGGTACAAATTGCATTAGCAATGTTTTGAATCTATGATATTTAAATTATTAGTCAATCTATTCAAAATTAACAGTAGTGTTACCAAAAAGTGTTATCAAAAAGCAATATCAAAAAGTGTTATCAAAAAACATTATCTTTTGCAAAGTGAATGCAAAAGTTACTTGAGTAATCACTTCCATCTCATTCTCATCTCAAGAACCAGCCATCTCATTATTCTTTGTCTTGATGTTAAGATTCTTTACCAGTGTTTGCATCACAAGTTAAACCACATGAGCAATACAGAGAATATGACCTTGTTTATCATTCCAGGAATGCAAAGCCAATTTTTGCTTCAAGCTCTTCATCATAGTATAGTTATTCGCAGCATTGTCAGTTGTAATTGTAAGAAGACTGGGACTAATATCTCAATAGTCATTTTTAATCACAGTCATTAATACCTCTGCCATATAATCCCCAGTATGACTACTGATCAATGATTCAAATCCAATTAATGTCTCTCAATAAGTTCAGTTCTCATCAATGTAATAACATATAACTCCCATAAATGCAAGATTGTTTGTACTAGTCCATGCATCCACTGTGAGAGACACTCTTCAATGATTCTTCAACTCTGATCCTAGATGTTGCATATTGACTTTGTAGTGTGTCTCAAGGTTGAACCGAAGACAGGATCAATGTGAAATATGAAGATTTGAATTAAGCATTTGAAGAAGTGTTCAGAATTCAGGGTTTTCAATTGATTGAAGAGGAAGATTCAGAGATATACACATGTGAAGTAATTATTCATGGAAGTTATCAGGTGAGAGTTGTGAAATCAGAGTACTGATACAGGGTTGTTTTCACATGATTTCCTTCAAATTAGAAAGTTAGTGTTATCAAAAATTGTTACCTGGTAGAGCAACTTACCAGCTCAGTAGTAATTTTCTGATTATTTTCCTTTTGTTGTCTGCATCCTGATGACTTCAGATGTCAGGAAATTTCTCCAGAGTCATGACCAGTTCATGATGAATGTTTCTGAATGAAGTTGCAGTGATTGCAGCAGAGAGATGACTCTTCAGTAATCTGCAATACAACCTGTTGATAATTATTCCATAGTTCATCTCAATATTTGTGTTGAGTTTTTCATAAATTTTGTGACCTGGAATCAGATATGAAGAATGAAGTGATCATTCATCATGATTGAAAGAGAGCATCCTGTGTTGAATTATAAACAACATAGACTTTGTGATTCACAGTGATTTCTTAAAGAGTTTGTGAATCTTCAATAGAAGTAAAAGAAGTGAAAGAAGTGGATTCAGAAGATATGATAATAATTTGAGAAAGATGATAATTTATTTTCAATAACTGATCACTGATGTGTGTAAGAAGAATTAATATAAGAGAAAATAATCTTGTTTCTTAGCTTAGTTATAATTTTAGTACTAACTCAGATTGAATATCATTGATATATAAAAGTAAATAAACAATCTTGATTAATCTCTGTTATATTTCTTGAAATATATTAATATTGTGAAAGAGAGCATTACTAAATTATGTTATCAGATGATATCATTAAAAATATATTAATATTGTGAATATCAATGTTGAAAAAATGTTGATACTTATACATTATAGTGATTTGTGAATCATGATAGTTAAATATATATATATATATATATATTGTTCCTGACTTGATTACAACTTGTACAATAATTTTTAAAAACTCAAAATTAATTTCAATTATTAATAATTATGAACTTACAACTAACTAATATAAAAAGAAAAAAACTTTTTCTACTTATCATCTTTCTTCTCTTTCTCATTCTTCTTATCATTCTTCACAATCCACTTCTTATTCTTCTCCTCCTTCTTCTCCTTCTCATCTGAGATGATAATCATCTCAAAATCTCCCTTCACTGCCTTCTCAGAGAAGGGTTCTCACTGCTCCCCCCCAGCCAGGTCAATCTGTACCTCAAAATCCTGCATTTCCTGGTCTGCTGCCTCAGGTTCCACCTCAGCAGCAAGCAGATTGACATGCTCAGAGAGCAGGGCTGCCTCCTCAATGTCCTGAATCATGGAGTGCATTTGAGACCTGAACAAGGCCTCAATCCCCTCCTTCTCTATCAGCTTCTGCTAATCAATTAGAGAACAGAAGCATTATCAAAAATTGTTATCTCTCAATAAATAAAAAACTTATCAGTTTTGACTTCTTTATCTCTCACTTCAACATCTTCTCAATCTTCTTCTGCTACTGCTTATTTACAGCAACACTCTTCTCCTCTCTCTCTCTCTTCATCTTGGCCTTAAATCATTCTCAGGACTTCTTCTGGTCTTATCACTACTGCATGAGACTCTTCACTGTCTTCTTCTTCAATCTCTCACAGGCAGTGTCATTCACATTATTCCTATACTTAGTTCAGTCTAAATCTATCAGAAGTGTTACTTAAAATTGTTATCATTCTGCTTTCTTACAGAGCCTCTTCAAGGCATCATAATATGCCTTGCAATCTGTCTCTCCTTGCTTAAATGCCTTCTTCTTCTCTCCCTCCAATCTGTGACAGTGCTCACACGCCTTGGTGGTCCGCAGGACCGCAGAATATTTGAAGAGGGATGACATGATTGGTTTCAGTGAGTGTTGAAGAGGGGTGAAGGCAGAAGAGGCAGTCAGAAATGATATGATAATGATGATAATGATGATGATGATGATGATGATGATGATGATGGTAATGGTAGTAGTGATAGTGATGATGATGATGGTGATGATGATAATGATGATGATAATGATAATGATGATGATGAAAGAGAGAGTGCATTGAAATATATTACTGACTTATCAAATATAAAGAGACTCAAAGAAAATATTAACAGCTTTCAGTGATGTACAGAAACAGCTACAGTGTTGCATAGCAACATCATCTTTATTCAATGCATGCACTGTTGATATTCTTTGTATACAGTTATCATATAATCTGTATCAGAAATACATGCAGAAAACAGATCTTTGTTGCTAGGACAAATGATTGCAGCAATTCTCTGTTTTTATATCATAAAGATAAGTTATTCTCATTTCTTTCTTCTCTCTTTTCTCTTATTCAATCAACCACTAATTCCAAGCTGATATGAAAACTATTAAAACACTCTCAGAAACCCTCAAATTGAAGAGTATAGACTAATCAAATTTCAAATACAGAAGAAACCAAATTATCTCCTATCTTCTACAGATTCAATTACTCATCTCCTCTTAAATAAAACAGCAGTCATGTCTCTCTTCCCCTCTCAATCAAATGAAACATGGCCTGTGAAAAGTGAGTACCACATCAGATCATAATGGTCAACACAGCCCCAGCATGCAGGGCTGCATATGCGCAGCGTGTGCTGAACTGAAAGACTGCATGAGTTGCAAACTGGCAGCAGCATTCCAGAGAGAGCTGTGTGGTGTGAAAAAGTCGCAACCCTCAGCCACATGTGCAGAGAGTGGATTGCTGCAGTAAGTACATATGCATTGAAGTAACACTTTTTGATAACACTCAGTCTCTGATATGATGAAAATAGAGTCTCTCTGTGAGATCTGTTTCTACCAGAAGTCTGAGGATCTTATATTCCTCAAGACCATCTTTACACACCTTGTCCGTGAAATTGATGAGAGAAATCATCAATTCCAGCATTCTGCTCTTAATATCATTCAAGTGATAGCAGAGTTCACCCTGGCCACACTTTTTAAGTGTATATTTTCTAATTATTCACATTTATATAGATATATACTGATTATTTGTTAGATAATGTTAAGACAATAACTCATTACAGCTGTGTTACCCTCACTATGAGAGATACACAGTTGATGATGAACATTGCAAAGACTCTGAGAAGTGAGTATTTTGAGAGTGCTGCAGCCCTGTGATCTTGATTTTTTTTTATTTTTATTTTTTGTTTTTTTCTTTTTCTTTTCTTTTTTTTTTTTTAATTTTCTTTCTCTTTCTGTCTCTTTTTTTCTTTCTCTTCTTTTTTTCTTTCTCTTTTTTTGTTTTTTTTTTTTTTTATTTTGATTTTTTCTTGTTATTTTATTTTTTGTTTTTTTGTTATTTTTTGTATTATACATTTTTTTTTTTAATTAAAATGATATTGATTATGATCTGTGTTTAGAAAAGTAATGATATTTGATAACACTCTCTGTTGAATTTTCAACAAATGAGCACTATGTTATGATATTATGTAAGTGAGAAATGATTTCATGATCTCATTTGATGCCATTTTCAATAATGAGATCAGAATGAAAATATGACTAAGAATTCAAACATATTCTTTATCTGAGACTAGATTTTTATTTGAAAAGTGAATCTGAGACCTTTAATATTTGAAATAACAGGATTTGGGATCAATGTGATGAACACAAACCATGACCAGGAGTAATGCTTTTAGGCAATGTGACAACTGTAAAGTTTGGTCCTGGTCTCAGACACGGTCACACGGTCAGTCTATATAAGACTAAGCTATTTTTCTACAAGAAATACTTACTGTCTGTAAACACTCTTGAACTGAGTCTCTAGACATGATCTTCAGAGACACTTATGAACTGAAAAGAAACTTTCTTAAGTCATGATCACTTAAGATCACTTATCAAATCACAATCTATAAAAGCTTTTATAAGTTTGTATTTGAAATTGACTTACAAGCCTGACTGTGTAATATGAAAGATGAAGAAGCTGTCATCTATACAATAACAGACCTGTATTACACTGAAGTTAAGAACTGGCTGAATTATCTAGAGAATGATTATAAGAGATCTCAATAATCTGTTCTTAAGATCTATTTAAAGAATAAGTTGAGAGACTCTGTGAGCTGAACAGAGAATATCTGAGCTGTAATTATTAATATTAGAAAAAGAGATGAGAAATCTGATAAAGACTACTCACAGTGCTTCATGAAATTATGATATAAATTAAGATTTATGAAAACAGAGCTCTGAAATAAGACCTGAATAATGATATTTATAAAGAAGCTGAATAAAGATATACAGAACAAGCTTATTAAGTAAGACTCTAAGTTCTTGACTCTGAAGAAACTGATGACTCTCATTCACTGCTTATAAATCACTGTGAGAGTCACAGATCTGTAGAGAGTGAATCACTGATCAGTCTTATAAGAGTTAGAATAACAGAGAACAGATTTGTCAGAAAAAGGTAATAAGATATAGAGAGATTTGTATCTGACTACTGAGCAGAGAGAAAGAGCTTCATAAGCTTCTGTGAATAGAGTGTATAACAGAGAGACTAAGAAAAAGAGACTCTATTTTATCTATTCTAAATCAGAACATCTTCATATAAACTGTCTGAATAAATCAAAATAGAAATTTAAAGAGTTGTGAACAGAGTCAGTAACAGTCTTCTTAAGAGTCTTGAAGCTGATATCTGAATCTGTTACTTCTCTGATGAAAATGCTTACTTATAGAGAGAGACTGTGCTGCAGTACTACTGCTCTGTAAGCATGAGAAGTATTAATAAACTCAGAATCTCAGGTTACTGTAATGTCTCTAAAGCTTGTGAAGTGAATGAGCTAAAAGATGAAAACTGAGAATTCACTCTTATAATAAGCAGAGTGTGAGAACTCAGATCTGAGAACTGAGAGACTTATAAGAGTCATCTTTGAATTACAAGATCTCTCTGAAATCTGAAGAAGATTTGTAGAAACTGTGATTATTATAAACATTACAGATAACATGTATTTGAAACTTGTATAACTTCAAAGACATAATCTGCACATAGCTGTCTATAAGTTAGGTTTATACTTCTGATCAGTGTTAACAGACTCACTTATAAAGATAGAATCAGTTGATACTGTAGAGTTGATTAGAGAAGACAAGCTCATCTATATAATGACTTTGTGAGTATCTAAGAATCTTACAGTCATGAAAACTGAGCTTCAGATATCAGAGAAATATCAAGATCTTACAGAGATATTCAGCTCAGCAAAGACAGCTGAGCTTCTCTCTCACTGTGAGAAGAATCTGATAATAGATTTAATAGAAGAGTAGAAATTCTTCTGAGAATCAATTTATAAGCTCTCTTATCATAAGACAGAGATCTTATAAATCTATATAAAGAAGAATCTGAAGAATGACTTCATCTGATCTTCATAGATCTCTGTGAGAGTCTCTGTGATGTTTGTGAAGAAGAAGAATAAAGATCTCAGATTATATGTAGATTATCACAATCTGAACTTTAAGATAATAAAGAGCTGCTATTCTCTATCTCTGATTAAGAATGTGATTAACTGTCTTACAGAAGCTGTCATATTCATACAACTGAATATGATCAATATATATACACAGCTGTGAATACAGTCTGAGAATGAATAAAAGACTGTCTTTAGAACTGCACTGAGATTATTTGAATATCTAGTGATGTCTTTTAATCTGATTAATATCTCTGTAACATTTCAGTCTTTCATTAATAAAACACTTCATATATATCTGAATGTCTTTGTGATAATATATCTGAATGATGTGATAATGTACTTCATGAAGAAGAAAGAACACACTGAGCATGTGTAAAGTATATTGAAGGTCTTAAATAAGACAGAACTGTATATTAAGCTTATAAAGTGCAACTTCAGTGCCTGCTGAATTAATTTTCTAGAATATGTAATCACTATGAATAATATTCAGATGAAATCTTTGCAGATTAAGACTATTCTATCAGAACTGAAGTTAACTAGTATTCATGAGATTCAGATCTTTCTGAGCTTTGTGAATTTCTATAGATAATTTATCTTTGTATTCATAAGAATCTTCTTGACTCTTATAAATATACTGAAGAATGAAAATAAGAAGAAGTCATTCTATAAACAGAGAATAAAAAGATTATTAAGAAGAGAGAACTGTAAGAACTTTCTTATCTCAGAAGCTCATAGAGTCTTTATAAGATTGAAACAGATATTTATAAATACAGTGATGTTATTTCACTTTAATCTCTTACTCTTAATCAGATTAAAGACAGATATCTTCTTCTTTACAATTTCAGAAATAGTCTTATAACTACAGCTAAATGAGAACTGAGTTTCAGTGATCTTTTTCTCACAGAAGATGCAATCTGTGAAGATTAACTATGATATTTATAATCAGAAGCTTCTCATAATAGTGGAATTCTTTCATCACTGATATCACTACTTTAAGAGTCTTATGACAGTGATTACTGTTAGAACTGATTATAACAGCTTACAACAGTTTACTTCAATCAAGAAACTCTCATAGCAGCAGATTCACTGAGCTCAGAGACTGAGTGAGTTCTGATTTAAAATAGA